GCTCTCCCGTTGCAAACGCCATCGCTCCAGGCTCTGGAGAAGCAGATCTACCTGGGAAACCCTGGCGCGGTCTCTGTTTCCAAGGATTTGAGCCCCAAGGAAATACATCGTGATCAAATAGCCTCCAAGTGAAGTCATGCATTTGCTGCCAAACCACATTTCCTGCCAAATCTCATGGCTCCGAAGCCATTTAAAATGCGCATGTGTCAGCCTCGAGAAGATAAAAAGAAGACAAAAAATTGTGAGCGAGAGCCCGAGCCGCAGCTGGCGGGGCTGTCCCAGCCCTTGTGCCTCCCCTGTCCCCGTGCCATGCGAGTGCTCGTCCGTGCTGGCTCTCTGCTAGCCGGGGTGGCAAACTTCACAACTGCACAAGGTGCAGGCCAACCTTCGGTGTCGGGGAAGAGATGTGGGTGAGAGGAGGAATAGAGGAATACAAAGAACTTGTACACTTATATAACTTCACTTGAGCAATGAAGCTGCTTAAGGCTCCATGCCCAGCATTTTCAGTCTTACTGTGCTCCTAATTTGCGGGTGGCGTTCTGCAGGGAGGAGGGTTCAGGGATACTGTACAACCACATCCCCATGCAGGTGGCTTTGGGGAGAAGAACGGGTGACCTCTCCCCACGTGACGTCTACTAACACCTCGGTGCTGCGGGGACTCCACGCGCTGTGGCAAAAATCTATAAAAATGACCTAGAAAATGTGATTGAACTCCCAGGAATTCCAGTTCGAATGAGACTGTTTACAATGCAAAGTGCCTGTTTAGCAACTGCCCCGTGACGGCTTTTCCTCTCCAGATGCAATCTGTCACAGCAAGCACCCTTTTGGCTATTATCAATAAAGGAGTTATCTAAAAAGAGGAGGTTTCGGGATCATATTCTCTCTACAGGTCTCAAGTTGCTGGGAACGCTGATTTCTACTGACCCACTCAAAGGGTTTTGTTCTTCCTTTTTTCTCTTTCGAAGTTTCTTGACAAATTCCTTTAATGAAAGGGATGGTCTGAAACAAATCTCAGTCTGAAAACAGCAAGTGGGAAAAGACAACAGAGCTATCTGTGCATAAACAGCTATTTCTCCTCTTTTTTTCTGGAGAACAAATTGGATAATCTTTAGATGACCCAATGGACTTCTTGAGGGAAGAAATGACAAGAATAATAAATGTATTCCCACATCAAGACAGACTCAGATGCTTATTCTAAACAACTGCTACAGCAGCTTCTGGCTGAGACCTGGGTGTAAGCAAATAAAATTAGGTCATGGCCCATCTGCAAAGCATCACTGGCTTTAAGACTCAAAATGAGGAAGGAAAAAAAGTTCCTTTGGGTAATGGAGCAGTTTCCCTTTTCAAATACTTTTGTCTTTCCTTCTCTCCTGCAATGCCCGTTTCCAAAAGCAGGATTGCTGACCGCAGTGTGATTCCTTTAGTAAATGTTGCTGAAACCCTCCGCTCTGTTCTGGTGAGATCTCTCCCTGCCCTCCCCAAGGAGGCTTTTCCAACTGGTAACTCCCAGGCTGGGGTAAGAGGAGCTTGTCACTGGGGAAAATAAAACAGTGCCCTCTCCTGTCCCTTCTCCCGTCTCGCACCCAAATGGCAAAGGTCCAAGTGTGAAACGGACTTTGGGGGGAATATAATGTTCCACTGAAAATGGGCTGGAACAGTGCAAGGGGCCTCGGATGGCTTATTTACTCATGTGCACTTTTGCTCCAGAGCAGGATTTATTTACAGAGACAACCTGAGGTTTGGGACTCACCGGGAGCATCCCTGACGGTGGTGGTGGGGGTCCTCTCAGCCCTGGGAGGGGTAGGAAGATGTGGGCACCCTTTTTCCCCAAGAAACTGGGCGTTTCCAAGGCTTTTGCAAGAAAAATGAGCTCTCATTAAACTGCTCCCTGGAATGTCTCTCTTGGCCATTTCATTTTTTTCATAAGAGCCACAAAGAGACCTGAGAGACAAGGGAAAGTAAATAAATAAATAAAAATAAATATTATAAGAAGGAATGTTAAATATAAGCTTTCAGTTTTCAAGACTGTCCTGAACAGGAAGATGAAACAGAAGTGAGTTTGATGGGTAAAGTTATTTTAACACGACAGCCAATGTTTAAAAGTCACATTTCAAGGCTGTGACTCTCAAAAGATTACAGCTCCAAAAGACAGCTTTCTTGCTAACTGATGGGTGTTTCCTTCCAGATAGGACAATTTACCTGATATGTGAAGTAAATAAAACATACCTATTAACCATATTTACAAGTACAGCATGCTAACAACAAGGCACAGGCATCATGCACACAGCTAGACGAAGTGGTGGGCAGGAGAACACAGATCCTACTCTTATCTCAGGGGGGAGCCGGGCAGGGCACTTTCATGCTCTGCAAATGCTTAAATAAAATAAAACCTGCATGGAAGAAAATCCAACCCCCTAACAAAAACAAAATCCCAAGGGGAGCGTAGCGCCAACTGGGATGGAACAGAAATGCCTGTGTTCAGATCAACAGGTCCTAAAAGAATCACACCCGACGTTCTGCTCCGGAGGCAGCCAGAAGAAAAGGGCCGTAGGGCCAACCCATCAGGCCCTCGTTAAGCCCGAGGGTTTTAGCTGCAGTTGGCTCTAAGGGAGAATGGGAAGATGGGGCCAGATCTTGCTGATCCCCGTGTTTTTCTCCAGTGGAACAGCACCACGAAGTCCACTTCTTATTCTATATGGTTTCCTTGCTTCTTGGGTCAATGTGGAAGGGAGTAACTGCACCTTACGCCAAACAGACGTGTGCAGGAGATGTGGAGCTACGCTTACCTGCAGAGCAAGCTCTTCAGCAGTTCATCTACTTTCTTCTAACCTGCTTCGCTAACTCCCTCAGTGATCCTTGGAAGCCTCTTCCTGTAACGCTACCTCTCTCAGCCGTTGGATAAGCACCATTAAATCTCCAACAAAAACTGCGCTGCTATGTCACATGTACAGAAAACAGGGTGTCTAAAATACGCAATCTGATGCAGGAAACAACAAGGGAGAAGGAAAACGAGTCAGAAAGTCACACAGATAATTTTGCCTAAGAAACAAAACAAAACTCAAAGGATAGACTGCGAACAATTTTTTTGTCAGTTCAGTAATTAAAGCAAAGTCCATATGGCTTAAGAGAACAGTCAAAGTGCACAGAAGGCAGTGGTTTTGTTTATGTTCCTCTTCACAGTAAGCACATTTCATCCTCTTTGGAGCCCCTTCTCCATCCCACACACATCCTATCCAGGTGCAGCAAAGGGGATGGTTCACAGGGTTTTGGTGCAAGCCCAGATTTTTGCAAGTCACTTGCCATCTAATGAGCTGTGGATCATTATCTCATATTCAAAAGCACTTGAACACACAAACACTGGAGTTTTTGGTTTTGAATTTTTTTCTTTTTTCTTTCTGGAGCCTTTGGGGGGGAACATTAATCCAGTGCCAAAGCTATCCAGAATCGGTATGCACCAAGAGCAGCAGTGCTCAGAGGCAGTGCCAAGGAATAAAAGCAGTTCTGAGTTCATTTGCCTTGTCACAGGTGCACTGAGAGGTGACACCAATGCTGAGCTTGCCCTGGGCCCTCACTGCTCAGCTGAGGTGCCACCAGGCCACTCCTGGGCACCCGACAGCCTCAATGTGAGCAAAGCAACTTGCTGCTAAACACAACAGGCTCAGGAAAAGGATGAACCTGGCTGCAGTTCTGCAGGGGGAAAGAGGAAAGCAAAAAGGGAGCCATACAAAAGGATGGAAAATAAACTAAAAATCCCCTCTCTTCTTCCAAAAGACTGTAGCTGGAAGTGCACAAAGCAGCCTGTCTAAATGTGCACAAGATAATCCATGACCCTAATGCTTAAAAAAGACTAGTTAGCTTTATTTGGAGACACTGCTGCTTCTCTTGGATACAAAGGTGTAGAATCAATAAAAGGCACCTGTGGACACCAGAACTCACCCAATCTGTGTGACAAGTCTTTGTACTAAAAAAAAAGTAAAATCACACACACCCAGCTACCATGTACCTTTTCACAGACCAGTAAGCAGTGCTGCAGAGCCTGGGCATGCAACGATGCTCAACTTCTACTGACAGGGCAGGAGAACTTTGATGATCAAAAAAATTATCAATTAGTGGACTATTGAGCTTGCAATCTTAATTGAAACTTGCCTCTGGCCTGCTGCATTATGTCCTTGGAATTAAAAAAAAAAAAGTACAATTTAAATGGCATATGCAGTCCACAAGGGAGTCCATAAAAATAAACTGACCTTGCATCCGAATTCTTCCCACTTGCTTCACCCACTGCTGTCTAGAGCTCTCTTTTGAGCTCTCTCCTCTCCTATGGGCCCTAGAACTGTAAAATTTAAAGAATGCAGCAGGTCCCATTTTGAACAAGAAAGAAAAGCAGGTCAGCAATTGAGTACAAAAACACCAGTAGTGAGCCTAGAGCAGGCAGTGACACATCTGAGCCTACGTTAATCAGCCCGTGCTCCTAACGTGGGCTACAGCAATGAGGAGAGAGGAGGCGCCTGCTTTTCCTGTAGAAATTTGCCCTTTCTCTATATTTTCCTACTTGACCTTGATGATAAGGAGAATAAAAAATAAAATAAAAAAGGGAAGGAAAGGAAAAGGAGCCTGGGAGGTCTTACAAGTTTTCTCTTCAGATCACATCACAAAGTCACTCATTGCATCTAGGGAATTCACCTCCTTGTTTGGGAACGGGGGCTAGGAGGAGGGGAGAGAAAGCAAAAGGGAAGAGAAGGATATGGGAGCTGCTTCCTGAAGCAGTGTTACAAAAAAGCGGTTAAAAAACCCCTACTATTCACAAGTGGTTAAAATTGTCACTTTTCAGAACTTTTTTGTTTTTTTTAAACAAAGGTTCAGCTAGTTCAGCTCCTTATCTTTAGAGTTGATTGTCTTCGGGGAAAAAAAAAAAGGAAAATAGCCTCGTTGGTGTTCCCATCCATTCTACCCTGATAGAGAAGTTACCCACGCAGTTCACACGCACACAGTCACCGCGCCGGCGTCACACGAAGGACGAGAACCCTGTCACTGGAGTCCGGGAGCCGGGCGCGGGCTGTCCCGTCGGGGTGTACACCCCTCCTGAGCTCTGTGTCGTGATGACAGTCTGGAAATAGGGTTCTGCCTCGCTGGCCGCGCACTCCTCGTAGCGGTAGGACGCCGGGTGCTTCACCCCCTTCTGCTGGCGCTTCCAGGAGTTGTAGTACGTGGGGTCGCTCATGTAATGGTTCACGAAGGAGTGTTTGGGCAGCTCGTCTTCGTAATCCGAGTCAGTGGCCTGGAACATCGCAGGGGGGAAAGAAAAGCCAACCATTAGCATCTGTGATTTAGCTTGCTCCACTCCGAAAGGAATTATAGACAAATTTAACATCAGCAGTTGGGAAAAGCTGCAATTTCAGAGTAGAACGGTCTGCAATCCAATTGCAATATGCACCGGACTGTAGAAAACTGCTGTGATCTGATTTAGCATGGATCTGCTGGGAGAATCCCTTGAACTCCAGCAGTATGGGATGCAGAGAAACCTGTGCTGATTCACTGCAGAGCACTGCTGCAGGAGCTAAAGGCTCCTGTTTCAAGAAGAAGATGCAGGGGAGAGCAGAGATGTCACAGGGAAATTAGCAGCTTTCAATCACAGCGCCAGAAAGCTCACAATTGTAATTTCAGACAGGTGAAATGTTGATAAATGTTGATCAAAGAAAATTATTGAGAAGCTCTGCTTTTCTGAGGCAAAGAGGAGAAAAAATATCTTCCATGCGAAGGTGCAGAAGGTAGCCAGATCTACTGTTGATTACGATGGTCAGATCAGGGCACCTGCACAGTAGTCAGTGAGTTTGACTTCCGAGCTCCATCAAAAATTGCATTTTTTTTTACATCACTGAAAGGTGATTTAACAAAATTATTGCTTCTTTCAGCCCCCAAACTCTGTTTTGTATATCCCATCTGATTATTTGTGGTATAAGAACACACGCATCCAGCAGCAAAAGACAAATGGGAACAAAAGAAGCGTTTCCAGAACACAGAAGTTGCTTTCCTGAGACGGCTCAGGCCCTGCCTTGTATTCGGAAAGGATATTACCCCTTAAAACATTTATGTGTGGTGGCTGGGCTGTAAAAGGCTTATATCAATAGATAGAGCTGAGGAGCTCTACTAATATGCAACCCAATATGCTCCATGCATCTGTTCCCTCTCGAGTGCTGCTGCGGTGCTACAGCCGGCGGAGTCGCAGGAAGCCTGTAGATCTCCTCGGAATACAGAGACCAGAGCAAAGCCTTGGCCAGGGCATCCCAACGCACCTCCTGCTCCCACCAATAACAGCCACGGCGTTATTCAGCACACAGACATTTCTTGAATAATTTCCTTATCTCATGTTTCCTCTCAGGATCTCCAGTTTCAGCATGCGAAAGCTTTTTTTTTTTTTTTTTCCCCCCCCTCTTGATAATCTGCATAGCCAATCCTAAAGGCAATTAAAAATCAAAGCTGCAAAAGTCTACAACATAAGATAGAGCGCTGGGTAACCGAAGCCTCTAACTATTAGTTGCTGCAATTATTTCCCTAAGTCGGTATCATTCTGATCTAGACACCACACGCACATCCTCCTTGATCCTGCCTGCCACACAACTGGGCTCTCCTCCTCCAAAGCTCCTTTCTGATGCTCTCTAAAGAACAATCCTCAAATGCCCTGTGAACCATCCTTTGAAAAGGGCACCACATCCATCATCCTACTCCTTTGCTTAGATACCTGCTCCGATACTATTCCGTGCCCGTTTTCCAGCACAGACAGTGATGGACAGGGCTGAGATATTTTTCCCAGAGTCATCTGAAAGTCTGAGCAAAGCAGTGCTTCACATTCCTGCAAAATTTCCTTTCCATTGTTAACCATGCTTTGGCTCTATCAGAATTATGTATTATTTTATTATTCATTTATTATTGCAAGAACGCAAAGCTCCAGGTGTTTTGACACATAATTAATATTACAACAAAACCCTACTGGTATTTAATAATTATTCCAGCTGTATTTCAGCAGATCTCTCAGCCAGGAAGCACTCCCTTCCACTTGCTGCCAATTTTCAGAAGCCAGCACCCATCTCCTTCCACGAGTCTTCCTCAAGAGATGTGTTTTTGTAGCATGCCTGAAATATCCTCAAATTTAGACTGTTTCATAGGCAGTGGTGCAGAGAACAGATCCAGAGTTTTGGCATCTCTATGAGGAACATCCTGCCAGCACCGCCCTAGCTGTTTTGTTAGAGGATCGAGCAGAAGTGCCTCTGGTGACTGCAGATGTGGCACTACGATAGGGAAGAGGAACAGCAGCTCAAACAGGCTGCTGTCCTCCTTCCAGAGCCAAGTCTTCCTACAGACAGCAAACCTGGATCTCCAGCCCCTGCTTTCCTCCCTTCCGATCAGCCAACGAGCATTTTGCAGCAACCTGCACCTAAGATGAGCAACAGAGCAACCCTTGCTCCCTACTGCCCTTGGCTGGCGAGGCTGGGGACGTGTCTTCTTTCAGCTGGAGCTATATTCATGGAAGAACTTACCATTGCCAGCTTTTCCCCACCATTCCTTCTACTGGAACAGCCTGTGTGTTTTTGTCGGGCAAAAATCATATTCTTCACTTTGAATGTATAAATTACAGGCATGAGGTAACCTGGCTGACTTTGTCTGATACAACTTAGTATGGACATGCAAAATCACCTCCTTCAGTTGATGGCCATTCTTTGACCCTGTCACGAAACAGCAGTTTCTCAAAGACTTCACATTACTTGATAGGCCTAAAATACTGGGGCTGCTACTTGATTTCCATCCATTGCTAGGAGAAAAATACCCACAAAGCTAACAACAATTCTGTACCTAAGCCAAGTCCTTTTTAGATTGCCAGAAGCCAACAAATAAAGAGGAGAAATACTGGGAACACTTAGAGGTGGGCTGCTGCCACTTGTAATACAGCGTCACTTAGATCTGCCACGACCAGAAAGAGTATTTGAAGCAATGGGTTGACAGCCGGGCCGCTGCTGCCTGCGTTATCCCGAGCGGGAGACACCACCGGCCTGCTGTAAATTCAGAAGGGATTTCCATAAAACAGATGTAACTGCACAAGCCTCATCTAACCTTGGCCTTTTACCATTGCCACCAATAATGCTGAAAAGGATAGCTTAGCTGTTAGTGGTGGTACGAGGCGTTTTCCTAGTATTTCCTTCAAAGTGGTCACTATTTTGACTATTCTGTCCATGTGTGTTTCTTAAGTATCTTTTACAGTTCTGGTCCCAACTAGACATGATAACAGCCTTGACCAGCAAGGAACTCTCCAATTTAAAACCCAAGTCCCTCTTTGATGAAAATCAAGGAGCAATAAAATACATTCCACAACCCGTTTTGCAAGACAATACAGACAAGCTTGTACTAGAGGGTTTTTTTTAGGCTTGATGTATTATTTTTAATGTTTTTGAACTATTTGTTCTTTGAATAAATAGAAATGCTGCAGGGCTTTTTGCTTTGTTTTTGGTTTTCTCCGCTCTGCGTCGCCCTTTAGTGCGACTCTGGCTTTGTTACCTAGGAAACTTCCATAGGCTGGAGTGGGATTGGATGTACTGTGACATTAAAAGCTGTCAAACAAAGGTGCATGGATGCCTGTGAAACAACAAATACAGAAAATGACAGCCTAAGTATTTTATTGATAACACAGAATGCACAAAGGCTGTTAAGAGACAAACTGGCAACTCGAGTTGGCTGGTTTAGTCAAAAGGCCAATACTGTAAGAAATTGGAAAATAATTCCAATTATCAATTTTTCAAAAAAAGTGATGGCACAAGAAGCAACCTTATGAGATTGCTTGTAAAAATGTAGATGGCAGCAGCTCTTCTTGGTTGTCACAAAGGCAATACACTGTAAGGGAGACCAGGCAAACACATTTCCCTGGGCAGTGGAGTCCTTGTTCACTGAATGTGTCTGCAGTTGGTTTGCACACAGTGCCCAACTTGTCAAAATTGCTGAGAACTTTATTGGAAATAAGTATTATTCCATAATAACCGTTAAACAGAAATTTATAATATGTTCATACAGAGCTGAGAAAGCCAAAGTCAGCTAAACTGCAGAGAGCAGGGCAGCTGAGTAGAGCAACAGCATCATTCAGCACCAGCCCATGGTGTGTGCAACCTGTGACACTGATCTCCTGCAAGGAGCTTGGGGACACCACAAAGACATGTGCAAGCAAACGGGTAACCCTCCACCTTGGCAAAACTGCTCTTCCCTGCTGGGTGACACAGTAGATATATCATCACATTTCTGTGCAAGGGAAATTCCGAATTTCTTCAGATCATCCATCCAGAGTCTAGTCCACTTGACTCATTATCTGAAAGCCTATTATTATTATTAATCATTTGGAAATTACACTCTTAGCACTCTCTCTTGCTCCATACCTGCCAATTAAACTACTTTAACCTCATTAACGGGACTGGTGCTTGGTTTTCACGACACGGGCTAAGTTAACAGCTTGATTTATGAATGCTAGAGTAGTGTTTGGGCTGCTAGATTTTCCCCTTGTTTCTTTTATGCAGGGAGTTTGGAGGCAGTGCTCCCCCGTAGCGCTGTTCTAAGTGCAGTCCGTGAGCCTGGGAGTTTCTTACAGTCTGCTCCACGTTCAGCAACCCCGTGAGACTTGCAGGCAGTGAACTTCCATCCTCCCCATATAAAATCTTGACACCTCAGGCTCCAGGAGCACAACGAAGAAGCAACAAGAGGACGTGTGGGCTGAAAGCAAAAGTGCCATCGTTGGCCTTGCCTGCCCTAATGTGCATTATATTAAGTGGAATTTCAGATGCACGCAATGATGTGTCAGGAGGAACATCAGGACCCCTTTGCTGCAGAAGCCCAAAAGCTGTATAAAGCTCTTAAAGATGAGATGCCTTTAATTCTTCATAGCATGGAAAACATCTCTGTCTGCTAAAGGAGACGGGGATTCTGAAATCCTTGGAAAAGTGAGCATGTCCCTTAAGGCATCTTTTGAGAAAAGAAACCTAAAGAACAGAAAAAGGAAACTAACCAGTCCATGAATGCTTGAAACAAGAGTGGTCAAACTCCTACAGCCACCTCTGCCCCTTTCCACCCTCACCTCCTGTCTGCACCACCAACATAAGCAGCATTTCCAGGCTGATCAAAAGGCACCATCTCCTACTGCTACCTCTACTGGGAGCCTATTAACATTTCATGCCTAAAAGCACTCCCCACCAAAAAAGCAAGCATCAAAGACATTATACAGAAGGACTACATATCTAAGCCCCAAGGAAAAACAGGAGGCACATTTTGTTCACACATTCACATGCACACACAGACAGATTCACAAAAACACTAGAGTCTTGATTGAGACCTTCAGGCTCTACTGCAATACACAGCAAATAAGTAATATTAATAATAGCCTAGGAAAAAAATGAAAATCACCCTCCTCTATGTTGTACAAACAGTGCATACAGAAGACAGTAATGACACCCTGAGAGTGCATTACCAGGAAAAACCACACGGGGCATTGAAATTAATGTCAAAAGGTGCCGGAACTAAATTCACGATCATGGTCAGCACACAGTTTTAATGACAGGTTTAATGCTGGGTTGTTGCAGTGACATGACTAAAGCACTCCGGGTTTAATCTGGAGGTAATGCTCACCCACGGCACGGACAGCACGGCAGGCTGCGTGCCGGGTCGGCCGCGGGGCAGCGCGGCGCGGCGGGCTGTCCGCGGTAATTAACGGGAGGTGAGAGCTAGGTGGCCGGGGAAAGCAGCTGTGGCTGCAGGTGCAGAGAAGCTACAGATGAAAACTGTCATCCTCCCTCACCACTTGCTGCTCTTGATTTATTCTTGCTGGAAGGGTCAGGTTTGGAGTAGTTTGGCCCACTGCTCGCTTCTCGTGCTGTCAGCTCAGATTCATCAGCCTCTCGGTTGGTAACACACGGTTTTAGAGACAGGTTTACCTTTCTGTACGGTCCTCAAAGCCTGGCTTTTAACTCGTGGCCACTGCCGAGCTTCTACAGACCATGAGCACTTCATTTCTTCTTAAAGGGGGGTGAGACACAAGACAGAACGCTGCCAGATGTACAGTGCTGTCATACACCAACCTCTGGAGAGTCTAAAGGCAACGCGAGCCGGAGGCTTCTCTTGTGTCAGACTAGCTCTGTGGACTGGGGCAGGACATCCAAATGATGGGCTCTCACAGCAACTGCTATGAGATCCTGTGGGCTGCTCCTCCACCAGTTACACCCTCTGTAACAGAGGCAGCAGTAAAGACCACTCTTCTGGATCTTGACATTTGCTGCAATTGCCTAAAAATGCACCGTGAAAACTTCGAACCACACTTTTTGCTCAGTGCAACAATCCAATGTGTATTGCCCCTTCAACCTCAGCCGAGGCAGAAGCTGATGGTTACTTCTCAGCACACACCTTGTTCCCAAAGCGTTCCAGTTTGCAGCCCACAGGCATCTCAGGATCCACCCGGATTCGGCAGCTCACGGGATCAACGGGACATGCAGCTACACACCAGAGGGGTGTGCAGACACTGCCTGTTTGGGCTTTCCTTTTTACATAGCACTGGAAAACCTGTGAAATATCCACTGAGGACAGGTCTAGTCTGGCTGGGCCCTGCTTGTCATTCTTTCTTGTGGCATTTTGATTTTAGGACAGAGCATATGATGGGAACAGCCAGGAGACAAAACATTTTAAAGTACTCAAGTACAGACAAACAACGAGAAGGAATAAAGAGCAGGTTTGGGAGTGGGATTTCAGAGACTTTCCTGGGTTCAGTCGGGGAACGAGCGCGTCTAGTGACTGAGCAAGGCCTTGCCATTGCCCAAGGCAAAGGAGAACACTCACCTCCGACTCCGATACTTCCAAGGGCTTCTCACCGAGGCCCAAGCCCTCGCTCAGCACAGCCCCGTTGTACTTGTTGCAGATATCCTCATCAGAGTAGTGCAGCCCCCCAGGGCTTGGCCGAGGAGGAGACCTGGGAAACGTAGAGGGTGACAATATGGGATGCTGTCATTTTGCTGAAATGACCACAGTCCACAAACATCGTGTTTAAAAGCCAGAAGGCAACAACTCAGGCACGGGTGTACAGTCCTCCCTAGATCATCCAGACAACAGCCTCTCCCCTTTTTCTTTTTCATGGCTGGCCCGAAGCCAGATAAAAAGCCATTTCCAAGAGCATGGTGTTCCCAGCTTCTTACCTCGTTCCATTTTTCTTTGAGAAGGTGCTCTTGATGTTTAGGTGCCTGCTATTGAGTTCCAAAGCAGTGAAGCCTCCATTATCCAGGGTGACTGACTCTTCCATATTGGAGATGGTCTTACCTGGAGACAGGCAATGAATGGCTCAGCTCAAAAAAAGAAAAGGTTCTTTACCCTCAGATGCAATTGTAACAACCATTAGAAACGGGTTTCTAACTTTTCCTTCATTTCGTTTTATAACAACCTTCATTTTTTGAAAATCTCTTTACCTTTCTTTTTGGTAAATGAGTCCAGTCAGAGTGGGTGAAAAGAGCTTATCAAGAGTAAGAATAGACAGAAGAAGCCAAAAGAGAGTCAGGGTCACATGCATTTCATTCTGAGGTGAGCATCAAAAATAACATGGATGAACTGTGCTCCAGAGATGCTTATTTCTGTCTTTTGACTATAAATAGCATACAGGTGAATAGTTCAGATGGTCACTGAGGATGCCCTGAACTCAGTGCCATGAAACCCATTCATGCCAACTGGGACAAAGGAAGGAAAAGTAAAAGTAGGAAAGGCAGAAAAGGAAAAACATGGAAAAAAAAAGAAGTTAGAAAGGAAAGCAAGGGGAAGATTCGGTGGGTAGAAAAGGAGAGAAAGATGGCAGAGGTGTCAGGAGGATAAGGTATAGATGTAAGAAATCATGGGATGACACAGGAAAGGAAAGGGGACTTGGGACTGACAGAAGAGGTAAAACACAGCAAAGTGTTTTTTCTTTTGTGATCAAATCTAACAAGAGCTTGCTTCCTTCCCATGCTCATTCTTCATAATCCCAAAGGTGTGAGCTCAGCGAGTGTCTTGGGGAAAAAGACCAGTTGCATATTGCCACTTTGCAGCAGACAAGCACTTTATTCTCAGCTTCAATTTCAATGCTACATTAAGACTCAGTGTGAGCACTGATATCTGACAGTACAGGTCAGACCTGTCTTTTTATGTCTTTTCCCCCCAAACAGAGAAAAACTAAAAAGATGAGAGATTTCCTGTGTGTTACGCATACAAATATGTAATAGTATTAGCTTAGTAAAATACCATGGCATCCATACATCTTAAATTCCATGAACTAAAATCTGATTTACTAACACTCATTAAGAGTGAGTTATAAAGAAACAAAATCTCCTCTTTGAGACTGAATTACTAAATTCTGCCTGGGAGACTTCTTCACTATATTAATCCCTAAAAGGGGGTAAAGCAAGGACCCGTTAATTTGCTCTGCTCATTAAAGGGTCTCTCTCCTAGCATCAGAGCTATTTTTGCTGGAGTGAAGGAGATTCTCAGGCACACACACACACACACACGAACAACCCCTCCAGAACTTAATTCCGTAAGAGGAAGACAAGACAAAAACAATATTCAGGGATCCAGAATAAGGAAACTGTGTTTTGAAAGAGGAATGTTTGGGCATTCAGAGTTATGTAGCTTGAATGGCAGCACACAGAGTATCATCAGTGCTTCAAATGCAAGATATTTCTAATTCCTGCAGCTCCTGAGACTGTGTGCAGAACATGGAGCCAACGTCTTACCTGCGCCGCAGTTCTTGTATTTCTTGCTCTGCCCATGCAGGATCAATGCAAACACCACTAACAAGATGAGGATCAGACTAGAGAGGGCTATCACCAGGAGAAACCACCACTCCTCGTAAAAGGGGGCTTCTGTTTGTGCTGAAAGAACAACAACAAAAAAGTAGTAATTCCTCTTCGTGCTCTTTCAAATATCCCCTTCTTCCCAAAGTGAATGGTGCAGCCATAATAATGTGTGGGACAGACAGATGTTCAAAAGAGGTCATATGGTCTCCTAGGCACTCAGCACTTTCAAATGGTATGCTGACACTTTGCTTTGACGGCAGAGAGAGCCAGGCAGGAGCATATCAGGGCTCCATCATCTCCACACTTAGAGCAGTGCTCCAGAACCCCTTAGCACAGAATTCATCACCAAAAGAAAACAGCTCAGTATACCCACATTTTCTGAATGCTCCAATACGCTTAATATTCCTTGGATAAAAGAACTATTCGTATATCTCTCATGACCCACAGTTACTCCACATTTTAAGAGGCCTGGACCCTGCCACTGGCTCTTGTAAAACATATAGCAGGTGTCAGGGAACAAAGTATGCTCAGGTCAGAGTATTTCAGTACCTCCACCGTTCATCTCCACCTTCCAATTTTCCCCCTGCTCTTCTATCCTTTTTCTCCAGGAGCTCATCCAAGCCCGATGTGCAGCACATGGCCATCAATTCTCTTCCCAGATCTGCCTGGATTTTGTGCAATCTCAAGTCATTTCACCCCATTTGACCTCTATTTCCCCAGCTGGAAGAGACTCAGAATGATCCTAGCTTTCCCTTCCTCGAGTTATCTCGCCAGAGTCAGTTTAAAGAAGTAAGTGCTGTTATTTTTTGCTGTGGCATCCTCTTTGTCAGCATCCTTCAGCTTTGAGAAGAAATGCTGCCAGGAGAGCACAAACTGACGACTGCACAACTTCACCGCAGTCAGTAGAGAAACACCTGATGGGAATGGGCAACGCCAGAAGACCAACTGCAGCCGAAACCTTCACTATCAGGCATTGCTCTTTCCCCTGGCTGTCCAGAACCCTGGATCTGGGCAAACGCCTGTTATGAGCCTGACGATATGAGCTCAGATTTGTTCCAGATCACTTGATACTCTGCAGCAGTGAAAAGTAGCCACAATCTCTCTTTGCTAGGAGGCCAGCCCAGGCCAATAAAGCCCTCAAGGCAAACTGTGCAAGCCATGCTGGGCTGAGCAGATTCAGTGCAATTTGTACCTTCCTGTGCTAACTGAAATGGCCAGCCTGAAATGCTTTCTACTTTTTACGACTGTGAATCTCAATGGAAACCTCTTACTTTCATGTAGCAATTTGAGATGAACACTGAAGCATCAAACAGAGATGAATTAAATAGTTCTGTTCAAGTGGAGAACTTACAAACAAGCATTTTATTTATAAAAAGCATCACAAGGAGCTGCATGTCCAGCTTTGGGGGAACGATACCTTCCAGAAAAAGAGAGACTGACGTGATTACTGCTATAGAATGACCCTTTACTTTGTGTTTTAGAGCCTGTGAAACCACAGGCAGGAGAAACACTGACTCTCTTGGTGTTTGGAGTGGGTTGTTGATGCCCTTGTCCTGAAGGAGAAAAGCAATGTAACGCTTGCCCGCTCGCTCTGAAATCCATAGCCAGCTCTCACAGGCTAAGTGACTAATTGTGTAAGGACAAATGCAGCCGTGATGGTGATAGCAGCGTTTAGTGCTCCCGCCTGCTGGGTAACTGTTGAATGGTGTTTATGCCTTTCACTCTAGGAGCAAAGAGATAAAAGCCTCTCCACATACTGGAGCATTGCCAGGTTCTCAGGACTCTCCAGAATTTTGAAGCACAAAGGCATTTTAGCAGGTTCTTTTATTCCTCTTGTCTGCCTTTGCTGACACAGCAAAGATGAAACCTATTGCTCAAAAGCAACTTGGAGTAGAACTGTCTCAGCAAGGGCAAAAAAAGCAAAGCTTTCACAAGGACAAACTTTCCTGCTTCACAAGAGGCCATCCAACCCCAGCTGCCCAAACACTGCAGCCAGAGCTGCGTTTGCTCTTGAAGGAATCGAGGTTCCTCCCGAAAGTCAGAATACCAGTTTGTTCAAAGAGATGCTAGAAACATGTTAAGGCAATAGCCCTGTTTACTGGGAATAACCACTACAGAGCAGGGAGGGCAGGATGAGTATGCAGGCAAAGCCAACTAGCTCTTTGGGGCCTACAGGCATCACCTTCTACTGCAATGCCAGCACAAAGCAACTGGCATTCAAAATAAACACAGAAAATAACTAAATTCAAAACAACTCAAAAAGTATTTAGCACAGAACATTAGGAAAAGAAGGAAGCAGAATAAGGAATGGAACTGACTAGGAAAGGAGTAGGCAAACAGTGCCTTGATGCTTTATTTTAACTAGAGAATCTATTTTTGTTTTGTTTTTCTCTTCCTCCTTTGAAAGAAAACCCATTGCAAAAGGCATGACAAAATACACAATTACCTGATACTGCCACAGAGGGGACGCTTGGCTCTCCATAGCCAAATTCATTGACAGCCACCACTCGAAATTCATAGGTCACCCCCTGTTTCAGCTTGTCCAGGCTGACTGTGTAGGAGGTAGCACTGCGAGGAATATCCTTCACAAACATATCCCACAGTCCTTCGTCTAGGAAAGCAGCAAGGAAAAAAGTAGCGTTAACAGCAAGACTTGGCACTTCTGTCTGCACATTGAAAATTAATTGCCACTAATTGCGTGTTTCAACCACAGGCAGTTGACAAGCTCACCTGAAGACCGCTCAACAATACGGACATATGTCAGAACACCCTGCAAGCCACACTTCTAAAAAGGGATTTATTTATGATGGGGAGTGTTACACTAGTCCAGATGGAAGAGGTCTCCTCCAAGATCTGCGCTATCTTGGCCTGAGCTGCCTTAAGTGCCTGAATACCTGTGATCAGCATACCAGCCACAACAAATAAACCCAAAGCAATTTGATGCATTAATCAGTCCTAGACACATAGATTTTGCCTGCTTTTTACGTTGCAAAATGGACTTCATGACCCAACCTAAGCTAAGCTTTGCAAACTAATCTAAAGTTTTGGGTCTAGGCTGGAAGTACTGTGGCTTTGCATGAAGTGGTGGCTGGAAGGCTACTGTCACCAGAGCGCTGCTTCCTCCACACCAACAGCAGTTGACATGACCAACAGTGGGGCATGTGTTTTTAAGCAGAAATGAGGTTTTGTTTGTATTAGAAAGCTCTGCAAGTTCTAAGAAACACAGTGCTCTCTGAATAACTGATGAGAATGGCCCAGCAGGGTTATCTTGGTTCTCCACAGCCATGCTGACACTTATATTGATGTACATCCAGCCTAGGTACTGTTTTGGTCCCTGATCCATACCCATAATTCTATATATTCCCTTCAATACAATGGAAAGAGCTTTCAACAAGATGGATGCTGTTAGCACTAAGCACAAAACCAACTATAATTAAAACTGCCCGTCAATAATTTTGAGTGTAGGACTTGAACATTAATCTAAATGGGCTTTTTTTCCAGTAGCAATCAGTACCCAGCATTTCCACCAACAAAATGAAAGTACTGTCTACCCACAGGACCAAATTCTCAGCTGGTCTAAGGCAGCAGAGCTCTTAAGGATCTGTCTCCACAAAAACCCCACTGGGCTTCTACTTATAGTTATCAGAATTGGTTGAGCAATGTCTTTTTCTCTGTAGGTCGCACAACAGTGGGAATCCTACGAGAACTTCAGCTCCTGCAAAGGAGCTGCCTGCTTTGAAAGCAGCTCCCTGTCCTGGGACATGCTGGCATCATCAGGAATTGCGCACACTTGAGGTGTTAGCAAGGGAACAATAAAGCAGGAGCCAGCAGCTCTGCCTGGAGAGACTTGCTCCACTGCTGCAACATACAGCCAGAATCAGTTCTGATTTTTCTTTGCATTTACCCAAGTGGAAACTAATTGAAGTCACCGCAGCGATTCCAGAACTGTCCTGGTGTAACAGCAAAATTTGGCCCTCCGCCTACTTCTGTGCAATGGGGAATAACTGCAAAGATGGATTGATTAACACTGCAGGTGCATTGCCATGCGAATGTTTTAACTTTGGCATCAGTAAATATTGGCTCAGTAATTCGTAACGTGCTGCATGGCTAGCAGCACACACAATGACTAACAACCCCCAAACCGCATCTTTTCTGATCATGAGGATTGGCAGTCTCAGCGGATGCAAACAGCAGACTGAAATGTTATTGTTCTAGCTACATTTGAGAAATGGTGAAGAACAACGAAAATAGGTAATTCTTCTGTCATGCTTAAAATTCAGACCTATATGTTATTCACCAGCATGATCAGCCTATAATGAAGTTATCATAATATACCATTGTTATGCATTAGTTGGATATTACAATGGCTATAAAACAGAAGATAAAATATTGACTTCCCTTTCACAGGGCAATATAAGGCTAGATTATTTCTACCATGTACAGTTACAATGTAATAAAAAAGCAGCTTGGGATTTAGCTTCTCTGAGAAGGGTGGAGTGAGGGACGTGTTTTCAAATTTACACTGTTGCAACCAGCAATACTAAAAAGATGCATCTCCGACCATAAAATATTGTCATAATTGCTAGAACTGCGTAAGCTTTCATAAACACATTTGTAAACAGCTATAACAGAATTTCAGCCCATTGTGAATTGTCTGAAAAGCAATTTGTTTACATTGAAAAGACTTTTAAATGGGGAAGAAAAGGCAACGATAAAAACGAATGCTCAGTCCTCATTGCCACAAACACAAATCTCCTCCCAGTGCACATGTTCCTTCCAACTCCATTTTCCCCAAGCAGTCGGGGTGCCCAGGGCAGAACAGCTAGTTGACCCAAAAAGGGTGAATTTGGCCCCTTTTCTGAGATATGCTTTGCAATCAGATATATCCAAACTAGAAAGCCTTTATTTCAGTGGTGAACTTGGCAATTCAATAGCGGTGGAGGCACTCGGCCTCCTTTCCTGCTCCCCCTCAATCCAAGGTTAGCTGGAAGCATTGGAGCCTGCCTAGAAGGGAACAGGGAGTTGCCTGGCCTTTCAGCACAGTAGAAAATCGCGTGGATACCGGGGGCAGCGTTTCCCCCTCGGTTTGGGGAAGGACAGGCACGCCAAGGCTGGCAGCTCCCCTCAGCAGGCCGAGGCCATGGCCCGGCCTTGACGGTCTCTCCCACATGGAAGGCAAAAGATGGGGAAGGCTTCGGCCGTGAGGCAGCGCGGAGCAGCACCACGGGCTTCGTTTCACAGGCAATTAGTGGGGGCCAACGCAGCGAGCACAGCTGCCAGCCGCTAACGAACGCCTGCGGAGGCGCAGCCGGCAGGACGGGAAGCCGTCAGCTACGCGCTTCCTAAACCCGCCTTCTCCCCTCTTGCAGGAGGAGGGCTGTAAAACCTCCTCCCGCATCCACGTTATGAGGTGCGGGAGGAGAAAAAGCAGCGGGGAGTTAACACAAGCTGCGTCCCTGCTCTGAAGGATGCGGCTCATCGGAGTGCCCGCGAGGACAAGGATGGGAAGCGAAGGCTGCCAAGCTGTCAGCCCGGCACGTCGCTCGCCGGGAGAAGCGGAGTGGGAGCCCCGTGGCGGATGCGGCCGCTGCAGCTGCACCCTTCACTTTGAATCTAGTGACTGCTGCTGGTGCGTGTCCACGGCTGACACCGCGCTCCCTCGATGGTTTAAAAATAAACAGAAAAAGGGAGAAAACGGAGAAAGAAAAACATTACTGGAGAGATGGGAAGGGAAGCTAAAGTGAGATGCGTCATGGGGGGCGTGTGAAGTGAAACCACCTTAGCGTTCATGAGAAGGAAAATCCCTGCTCCAAGCAGGGCTCTTCCCCCAAACCTCTGCTGCCCTCATGACACGGATCATCTCGGGGAAGCAAGGAAAGCATTTGCCTGACTTGTCCGTGTCCCAGGTTCATCACTTCTGGCTGCTCTGAGATTCAAATGGCCTGTTTGTGACAATCAGCGTGTTAAAAATATTATTATTGGAAACACATTAAGACGCAATTCTCAACCACTGGCCTTTAGACTTTCCCTGCTTGGAAAAGGCCAACAAGCAAAGCCCCAGATGTAGGCCAGGCCAGAGGACACAAAGGAGGAAATCTCTGTCCTCCTGTCCTGGGCAGGAGGCTCCTCCTGAGGTGAAACTCTAAAAGACCTTAAACATGCCATTTTTGTCTTTTTCTCTGCATGCAGAAATACAGAACACCACCTAAAACCCATTTCTCAGCCAGGTCAGCTGATGTCGAGAGAGGGCTTGCTACGGCAGTGACAGCAGCTGCCTCCCTGCATGTCTCGTAATGCACAGGGAGCTGAGCTGGAATCAGTTTCTCTAGAGATGGAGGAAGGAAAGGAGAGAACACCCTTCTGCGTCTGCCATGGTCACCCTCCATGAATCCTGGAGAGAAACAGGTTGTTCAGAGCAGCCATCTCACCGGTCTGCGGCCACGGCCGCTCAGCCCAGCAGGGCAAAGGAGACGCAGCAGAGCAATAAAAATTTCAAAAGGAAGCAACAAAAGAGGGGGAAGGTTTGTCATTTCTGACAAAAAGCCACCCTCCTGCTCTGATGGAAGAATCTTGGCAGGAAGCTACAGCAGGGAAAATGAGATGATACAGCATTTAACGTTTGGGGTAATGAGGCCTATAATAGATGACACTAGAGATGTGAAATACTAAGGTAGTGGTATTGCATTTAAATATTGGCAACAAGCTGAAGCTTTTCATCTGTCTATTCAATGCCTCTTCTTTTTTTTTGATCTCAGAAGGATGAGTTTTCTTCTTCCTTGATTTTATGTGAAGGGCACAAGTCAACTGCTCTTCTCTTGGACTACTACTACTTAAAAATAAAGGCTGCTCCCATCCTTGCTCTACTACCTGTATCAATCACTGTACAGTAGCAAATTCTTAGAATTATATTAAAACAGAAGCTGCTCTGAATGACCAACCCTGTCAGGAAGAATTAGCTCCCTGCTTTTGTTAAGCTCGAAATTCAGATTTCAAACTCCGCTGTGCAGAGACGAGGAAGAAAAGCAGTGCTGAAATGAAGCTGAAGCTTGCGTGAGATAAGCAAACGTTCCAATTAGTCTGTCTCCTCTGTTGGATCACATTTCACGCTCTCTACAGCTGCAACCACAACTAAGGAGGAGAATCCAGCATACAAATGGCTAGTTCATTTACTACAGCAGCATGAATAGGATTAAAATAATCTGAAGAGGAATTAAATGCCTCAACAGTCAGGTTGCAAGAGCAGGAGAATAAGACCTTTTCTGTTTGTGTTTCCAGGCTCTGTGGAGTGGGGCCAGTAGGAATGACCCAAGGTTAATACAGCTCAGACCGGCCTTGGAAGGATGGTTTTCTTCCTGCTCAAAAAGACTGGGCCACAAATCCTACAGCACATCCTTAGGCATGAACTGCAAAATGTTCATTCACATCCAAAAGCAAGACAAGCCCCAAAACACCTGACAAATTTGTCATACCACAGCTCATACGACAGGGTTGTCTTTTGCATGAGAATGTTTCTGTAGGAGTTTTATGGTTTGTTTCACAGAGATAGGGGGAATAGAGTTGTTGTTGTTGCTTTTTCCTCCGGTCTAAAGCAAGATGTGAATGATAGTAGGCTTATGAGGTATCGTACACAAATGTTTAAGTTAACGGAGCTCCTGGACAGTAAAGTGATTTTTTTTTTCTTCTGTAGAACACTTAGAATTTTTTAGCTTGCAGACAATCCGTATACAGGGTGTGGGTTTCCCTCTGAAAGACTCTTCCTCAAAAAAACATGGGTTTTGGGGCAAATGTAAGCTGGCTGGCAAAAGTCAGTGAATGGGTTTAAGTTGCTATCTGAACAACACTGTTCAAATAAAACGTGATTTTTTGTACCTGAGGACACATGAGGACAGGAATCAGCAAGCTGATGTAAGGGAAATGGAAGCACTGGGTCATTCCAAAATTAAGAAAACTCGATCACTCTGGGAAACTCTACTGCTTTGAGAACATAAACATTTTCCTTCATTTTGCTTTGAAAACAACTGTCACATTAAATTATAGAAATCAGACAGTGAGAATCACAGCAGAGACTCACTGCAGAGCAAATTCTACCAAAGATGTAAGTGGAAATCCGTATCTTCAACAATGATCACGGAACTGCAGACTACAGTTTTGCTACTGGTCTGGTTAAAATTAATTAAAATCACTGGCTGTAACTGCAACTCTGCATTCAAGACATATATAGGAAAAAGGTACAACTCTTTATATAACGAAAAGATAAACATTCATTTAATCAATACACATTCATGCAATGTGTAACCACCTAGCAGAAGAAAGGAAAAGAACAACCAGCCGACATGGATTTGTCAAATATAAATCATGTCTAATCTCCTTCTCTGACAAGGTAACAGACCTTGCTGATAGAGGAGAAAGAGCAGACATCATCTATCCTGACTTCAGCAAAGCTTTTGACACCATGACATTCAAACATGGCCTACATGAAACAAGTATCTTGTAGAAGCATGGCTGGCTGGAAAACTGAGAACAGTTACCAGTGTTCACTGTGAGAGTGGAGGGAATCTATGAAATGAGCTCCCACATGGATCTGGCAGCATTCATCATTTTTGTTAATGACTTGGATACCAGAAGGTGTGCACTTATTAAATTTGCAGAGTGATACCAAGCTGGAAGAGACTGCAAAACAGCATGGAACATAGCTGTTCTACGATCTAGCCAAACTGGGAAAATATTCCAGAAAAAACGTACAAAGACATTCAGTTAAGGAGGGATGTGAAATCCCCAAAAGCAAAATAATTTGGGGAGAGCCCCAAGGAAAGCTCACTGGTGATGAGGAGATTCCTTTCACCCACCTCACCTTCACCCTGCTGAAGGAGCGGGGACAGCTCTGCTCACCAGCTGCTAAAAGTGCTAGTCCTGCTAATAGCATCAATTAGCTGCTGTGTCCTGCTGGGCAGCGGGATAGATTTCAGTGTGTAACCCTCAAAATACAGTTTGCAACTACTTATGGATCCTTGTGCCTGAAAGATGCTGCAAGTGTTTAAGCGATTTTTAATTATTTTATAATTTTATATATTTAATTTATACTAGCTTATCAGTTGGATGATTCACCAGTGAGGTAGCGCAGTGAAACCCAGAGCACCCAGTGTAATTTCTGTGACTGTTTCTATACAGCAGATAACCAGATATATCAGAAAACAAACCAGGGAAGGTGGAATATTGGAAGCTTTCCCTCACAAAATCCTACCACCTTACTGGGATGACCAACAGTCTCTTCCACTGCACGACAGGTTTCAGTTTGGACTGAAGGAACAGAAGTCCTGACACCATGTGCTCCATGTTCCCCATGACTTACCTGAGGGCCGTGCCTCTATAATGTATCCGGTGGTGGGTTTTTCTCCTGAATCTCCCTCGGTCCACTGCAGCGTCAGCCCAGAGGCAGATTTTGTCACCAGAATTTCCTGAGGGGAGCCAGGAGACCCTGAAGGGTGAAATAAGAACAGTGGTGATATGGAGACCTACTGTGGTTTTCTTTCTTAAGTCTGCTGACAGAAGAAAACAACAGCCAGAAGCTTTGGTCAACATACAAGCGTTACTAAACAGCCCAATGGGCTGCTGGCCTAAGCTCTTCACTGTTTTTACATCATCAGTTAAATAGAAAACGCTGGGTTTTACTGGTGCCTCTGTAAAGAAGGAAAAAGAAAAAAACACTGACATTTTAATAATTTGTTATTTGCAGCATCTGCACATTGCCACTGCTATTTCTGCCTTCAGAGGTGGAACCAGCTGCTGGGTTCCAGGGAGAAGTTCTTTGCCATAGCTGCCTGTATGTTCTCTTGGCAACATGCCACTGTCACGTTACAGAGGATTCATGGTTTCCACTGCCTATGACTGGACTTGATTCACTGCACTACTCTCCCAGTTAATGGCTAAAGAGGACACTGGGATAAAATCAAAGCCTGCTGGCATCCAGAATGGTGGAATGACCAGACATGGCCCACTGCCTTTGATGGAGGGAGCAACCATCTCCTTGAGCTGAATGATTTATGAATAATTCATGGTCTAGTGGGCAGTCTAATATCATTGGAGTTCCTTTACCTTTTTAGATTATCTATTTATCAGAAATCTCTGATAATAATAAAAATCCTACTGCTTTGGAATACACATTGCACCAAGGGGAAAATTCTGAAGTTCAGCTTGTTCCTTTCAGTATATGATGCAATTTGCAGACATATCCCTGTGCATGAACCAGAGTGTCAGAAGGGTGTAATTCTACATTCCTACTCATTTTAAATCCAAACTTTACTGCCTAAACAGAGTTTTTCCAGTTCCACTCCAAAGCACACCAGTACAATCAGAACCATGGACCACACTGCCAGGCTGTACTGACTTCCCTGGCGTTCCAGTTTGTGCTATAATTTATTAACAATGCATTATTTATTCACATCAGCCTTTTAGTCTCCAGGGAAAAAAAAAAAAAAAAAAAAAAAAAGGAAACATCCTGGTTTTTTCTTCTCCATGGGCAGTAGTGAAATCCACTGAATCATGCCTTGAGCTCCCAAGACTAAACTTCTCCTTGGCTCGAAACTACATATTAAGCACAGAGCTCGCTATTTCCTGCCGTGGGGCTGTGTTTGTACAACTATATCCAGCTTGGGACACGCTTTTATGGCTCCGTTACCTTCTGCTGGCCCAGCTGTGACATTGGCTTGCAGTTCAGGTCCATAGGCGATGGTTCTGGCTTGCACGCGGAATAAATAGGTCATGCCCTTGGTGAGATCTCGGACTTTCAACCAGCGCTGCCAATTTCCTTTTATGTCCACAGTCACCACCTTACTCACCCCTGGAATAGCCACATAGATGGAAAATAAGAAAAGGTTGCAAGGCGAAAAAGAAATCAAGCGGAGCTTATCGCATCTAGAAAGTAAGTAAAATTATCTAACAGTTTGCTAAGAAAGTATTTCTTACAATTAGCAGGAGTTTAAGTAGTGATAATAGCCAATTTTCAGCACTGATAAGTATAATTAGAGTTTAAGCTTGATAAGTGGGTACTGACAAGAAGAAAACCTTATAACACAACTGGGAAATTACCAAGAGACTGCACGCAACTTCACTAATTACTCTGGGAAGAAAGCAGGAGGTAAACAAAGAGGACTGCATGCTGCAGATTGCTTCCTAAGCAAGCCCTCCTCTGCTGCTGCTTTGCCAAGCAACCTGCAATGCTGTTTGGGGAAAAATAAAGGGCAGCTTCTTTTCTTTTATCCTGTCCTGTCATTTCCACCGCTGCCAAGTGAATGCAGAATGAAGGACATATATCACATGTAGAACAAATGGGTGTAAATACTGCTGCAATGGGGGACGCAGTCAAAGCACTATTGTCTTGGGCAAGGCCAGCATCAACACTTGGGTTGCACTCTTTTCAGCTTTGCAGAGCTTCCAGATGTGCTAAATGTCCACGCTGCAGATGCTGGTGCAGTGAAGGAAGCCCTAAGCCTGTCCCTCCAAGGAGCCCCCACAAGTTCCATCACCCCAGGACAACTTAGGCAGAGCTATCTCAGAGTAATGTGTCCCCATAAGTGATGCAGGGCCTCCTCTCTAGACCTTAGAGTATGACAAAGATAGCACGAAAGTGATCTAAAAACACTTCAGTCACCACTCAAATCACCTCATCTTAAAACACATATGCTTGCTTAAATACATAGGCTTCCTATTTTACTAATCATTCTTTGGGTTCCGACTGAGGGTTGAACTTCCTCCTCCAGTTAAGAATGTTTCTTACACAGAAGAATTAAAATCACTGCCATTTCCCTCACCAGTGTTCGTAGCCATAAAGGTTCTCAATCCTTATGTGCTGATGTTGCACAAAGGGCAGGGTGGCAATGACTACTTGGAGAAAAAGAAACAGCTTTCATCGAAATGTTCTAAAAGCAACCTAATGAGAAGAACTTGATACACAAAGTATTTTACAGACTAAAAGCTTGAATTCAAAGAGTCCTTTTAGTTTTTTTTCTGGTTCTGTAGATGCACATAACACTTTTCAAACTACAAGGATTAGAAGTGGGAAAACGATTTTCCGACTAGAGAAGGGTGTTTGCTTGTTTGTCTCTCCAGAAAATGCAGAGGAAAGAAGTTTTCCAATTTGGATGCTTATTTTACGCAAATCAAGCTGCTGCTTTCAGTTTTTAATCAGTTAAATAAAGAATAACATCCAAAGGGCTTCTGTTCAAAGTTTTCTTCTGGCAACAATTTATAATTCAGAGAATCTTTCCCCAGTTAACAAGGAAGCAGTAAAGGTGCTCCCCCCTTCCCTAGGTATACTATTTCATTTCTCAGAGACAAATCAGGAAGCATTTGTCATTTCAAAGTAATGTTTCCCCCAAAAAAGAAAGCAACTGTTAAAAAAAGGCTCCAGGGCAATTTTGTTGTCTATAATGGTCTAAAAAATATCACTATCAAGCTTAAACAGTAAAAGGTCAAATGGGGAAAAGATTCTGCTAGAAACAAATCACTGTTAGAAAGTTCTGCAAAAAAAAGCAGGTTTTGAAAGGTGGTTTATGAGTGGCAGGGCAGGAGTTGTCACAACAGAGAGGAGGCACATCCCCAAATCACAAAATGGTAGAAAGCCAAAGGAAGCAGGAAAAGGGCTCCAGGGAATCTGGTCCATGAGTGTGGGTAGCTCTGAACTGGAGGAACACCAGACCTGGGGACGGAAGGAGGGATCTCGGGCTCAGGTGCCAGCCAAGCTTCGCGGGTCTCACTGCCTGGTTGCAGGACCCGTCTTCAAAGGGATTTGGGTTTACCCTGCCCTCTAAATCAATGAGCGTGGCTTTTCTATCCAAGAAAAAAGATGGTTCCTAGAAAGGGATTGCTTACTACTGAGGGAGAATAAATATTTTCGAGGAGGAAAACATGTTGGCACAAGAGCAAATAGGTAGAAACGGGAGAATAAATTTAGGCAAATTTTTAGAATCTGAGGAAAAGTCCTCCATAAGCTACCTCTTCAGATAAGAAATCTTCTATAGGGGAAGGAGAAGCAAACAGAAACAAGATACAGGTCAGGAAGAGGATAAAAGAATGACTGATGAGGATGATGTCAAATTGTCACAAAGGAAATATGATGGAAACACTTCCATATGATGGAAACACTTGCCTACTTCTAGGGACAAAATGGATTCCTTAACATTTTGTAACAATATAAGGCAGGGAATGTCCAAAGAGCCTGAACATCCTACATAACCTCTCCAGGTTTCCCAGGCAGAATCACAGTTGCTTCCTGCATTAGCTCTTTGTGCTCAGATCTGCCAGCAGTCAAGGTTGAAAGTGCTTTTATTCTCCTATTTTTGTCTCTGAGTATAATTTTCTGAGTGCACACGACATGGACATTCAGACTATACAGAACACCTTTATTCCTTACAGAAGAAACAAATACTAGAGATTGATATCCTTATTTCTTTGGAAAAGAGTTTAAAATTGATTGGCAATGGCTGAAATTACTTTTCTTGTTGTCATCTTGCCAAAGTTGGACATCCTATTGAACTATGAGCTACTATTTCTACCAGAAATATAAAAATATTAATAAGACCATCCTGAAACTTTGCAATCTTTCCTAATTCACCTTTGTAGTGATTTTACATTTGTTTCTACAGAAATTCCAGAGAATTCCTTTTCTGCTGCTGTTTTGGCAAATTAATAAAGCATTCGTTGTGACCATCATATTGTTGAGAGAGTTTAAATCTTGCGCTGAGTAAAAAGCAGTGCTTGAAAACTCGGTATAAAGAGACACAACTAAAGCTCTAGCAATGTTATTCTTCCCTGTCAAAAGCAGCAGTGGTACCAGTGATGCCTAGCACATATGATGCCTGGGCAATCTCTGCGATAACAGAAGTGACACATGATGTGATGAGCAACACAAACAACTCTGATGACTATTCTGGGATGGAGCCCACTCAGCAATTTTAAAGCCCAACGCAGGGAGACAATCAAGCACTCGCAGGCTGAGTTGGCTCTTCCCTGATAGCAGGTAACAGTGGCAGTATAATGACTTTTTCAAACCATACAGGGATATAGTTTTTGCAAGAAAATGAGAGAGGACAGACAAAAGCTATATTCCATAATATCCTAGTTTACTTAGCAGTCGTGGTAAAATTGAAATTGTTTTACTTACCCTCTGCCACCTGGATCCTCTTGGGAAATGGCAGAGAGCAAGTAAAAAATTGGGTAGAGGTAAAAGACATGACAGTGGTTTTCTATCATTTCCCCATGAATATGTATGATCTTAAGCCTTTCTTACCCTGGACTGGTGCCAAAGGCTCATAGACTACTCGATAGCCCTGCAGGACTCCATTTGCTGCTGTTGGCTCGCCCCAAGACACGTTGAGTGTCGTGCAAGTGATTTCGGAGAACGCCAAGAAGCTGGGAGCACTGGGTGCTGAAAGGATCACAAACATTTTCAACGCCAGCGGAAACAGTCAATCTGATATACATATAAATTATAAAACATTGTGTTTTGCCCAGCATAAAACTAAAGGAAACAAGCTGAGAAAGGGATTTATCAGTTGTATCAAAACTTCTTGTAATCAATCAGAAAAACAGTCTAGGAAAAGCAGCCACTCAACTGCAAAACTAATCCCAAAAGCAAGCGAGGAGATATGACCTACAATGAAAAAAACCCTCGCAGAGACATTGATTTGGGCCTTTGTTCTCTACCTAGCTGCTGAATTTCAAAAAACCTAGGAGGAGTTTGATATGCTGGAAATCCATGGTCATCTTTAGGGGAAATAGGCTGCAGATGCTGACATTTCTCAAGATTAAATTCCTTAGAAAACCAGCTAAAAGGCAGGGCTCAAAACCAGAAGGGCACTAAGCAAGCCCACAGCCCAAGTGCACATTTTCTCTTCAAACCCAGCAATGACAGCACTTCCCTTCACTGCACCTTGTGTGCTCCCCCCGGGATCAGCGTCCAACACGGCGACAGCTCATTCCGACTGCGTGGCTGCCACGGCTTAAAGAACTCGGGAGTTATAAAAAGTCTCATACTTCTCATATGACTGTCTGGAGTATTTCCAGGGACTGGAGATCAGTTCCTGCTGCTTTTCAGATGTGACGGGAGAGACCAGACTAGACCTACATTTTCATCCTAGATGAGCTTGTGAAAAGATCTTTCATTTGCCCAGTCTGATCTAGTTTTTATAGTACCGTTGATTTTCACCCTCAAATTCCTTCCCCAAATGTGATTTTTTTTTTCCGCCTAGACCACTACAGCATAATGTCCTATCTGAAAACTATCTTCAAAACCCTGTGTCTCCTCCTGTCCCATTTTCCTCCGTCCCTGCCCAAAGCAGGTGCTTTGGAAGGAGAAGATGGTCTCCTACCAGCCTGAAACGTCCTGCCCTGTGAGGGGCTGCTCCTCGGGCCGTCCCCGGCTGCGTTGAAAGCAGAAATGCAGACCAGGTAGCGCGTGTGGCTGGTCAGGTTTTTGAGCCGGACTGTTGTCTCTGGGAGGAAAAGGACCTTCACTTTCTCCGTGTCGTTTTGGATGTCGCTCTCCCAGTAATAAATCTGTAAGAACAGAGAGATGCTTAAGTATATCGCATATTACCTTACAACCTGAGTAGTGAGGGCTGCAGAAGACGATCAGGAAGATGGTGCATCTTGTTTTGGATTCCTCTGTTAGGTGGAACATTAAGACTTTTCACCTTGTGCCCAAACTTCATTCCTCCTTTGGCAAATTCCCCTGAGCACAGTGACAGGGTGGCTGAGCACATCATTCAAAAACAGAGCACAGATTGAAGGATATGGCCTAATCAGAGCAGATAGCAACTTCCAGAGTTCGGTAATGAGAGGTCAGTTTTTAAATTCTCCCTAAAATGTTAGCTATCTGTCAGCACTGTCACCCTGACATGCTGTATCCATAATTCACTTCTGCATGGACAAAACAGTTTCACCATTTGTGTTCACAGGATAGCCAAGCCAAGCCTCTTACTGCCTCCTGAAAGAGAGGATAAAGATTCTTCCTAAAGTTCCTTGAAGTACCTTTTTTTTTTTTTCCCAGTGCCTTACATAATTTTAACCCTGATGCCATAAAATTAGGCTTCAGAGAAGATGATTCCAAAAGAAAACGTGGTGCCAGCCCTACTTATTGGGCAGCCTGGCACTGAGAGCATTACAGCAGGCCAAAGCAAGCCAGAAAGTTGAGGGAATGAGCCAAGGCAAGAGTCTACCTTGGCTCTACAAGCCAAGCTGTTAGAGCCATCTATATACATATGAAAGGAGAAGTACATGAATTGATATATAAGGTTGCTTGTCGCTGCCAAGAAAGGATGCCAGATTGTTCACACTGGCTTGGCTTTTCTTCACTTATGGACCTAAATTCATGGAGAGAGGCAGAGCCAGGCGCTGAACCCAAGCCAACTTCCAGTGTTTGTAGATTTGCCCATTTCCATTCTCTGAGGGTCCACTCTCATACCGGAGAGACTAAACAACATGCCTCTGCAACATGCTCATCCCCCAGAAACCAACTGCAATTAATACTATGATTTAATTTTATTAAAGTTAAGGGAAGCAAACAATTCTTCTTTCTAGTCTGAAGAAAGTTCTGCTTTTCCTGATAGCTTGTAGCATTCAATAGTTAGAAAGCTCAGCTAATTTTCTTCTAATTTTCAATACATTTCTTGCCCCAGCTCCTCTATGTCACCTGTTTTCTGGAGCAGACATTATCTGCATGAACAGGGCTCCCAGCACTCTCTATATGCCCTGTTTCTCCGTCCTCTCCTTCTCTGCAAACAGTAAACCATTCTCTTTTTCCTTATTATTTTTCTCTACACCATTCACTCTTTCTTTTGGTTTGGCGACAAAGTGCCATTTCCCTACTGCTTTAATTTGTGGTACACATTGAGGGTAGTTGTCGTTGGAGCTATTGCACAAGTAATAGCAAAAGCCAAGAAAGACAAATGGAACTAGTAGAAATAGAAGCATTGCCTTGTAGCCCTGTATGTTCCCGTTTTGGCTGTCGGCAGGAGGGGGGTCCCAGGTGAGCTCCAGCTGACTTGCAGAAAGGGAGTTGACTTGGACGTTCTGCGGAGCCATTGCTGGTGCTAGAGAGAAAAATAAAAAAGACAGAAAAATCAGTATGAACAAGCAGAACTAGTTCATATCCAGGTTACAATTTTCTGTTTGTGAAATGACCCAGGCCAGACTCTCTTTATGCCACAAATGAGTTAAGTTACCTATGCCCTGACGTTACCTATATCACTGGGAAGGCTCAGGCATAAACCCACAGCGCGCGCGAGTGGAGGATCAACAAGCTGGGCTCTGTCTCACCCTAAGTCAGACACTCAATAAGCCCAGCAGCTTTGGTTGGGGGCGGCACCGCTGCCTGCCCCTCGCCACTGTCTGCCTGGCCCTTCCACTCGGTTGCAAGGCTTGGCAATGGCCCCTTTGCACCACTCCAACAATTATGGCCAAATATACCCCTTAAAATCACCTCCAGAACAGGTCAGATGCAAATCAAGTCAGCTAATATTTTGCATAAAACAAAAGGGCTTTTAGTTTGACATTTGTTAGCTCTCATTTCATTATGCTTCAGGTATACACACTGGACCTGCTTGGCTCACGATGGCATTTCTCCTCCTTTGCATTGCCCAGTATTAGAAAACTCATCTTTCCCTTCCTTGGAGTGCACCTGGGTCACTCTGTCTTTCTCTTTTTGTCCCGATCCAACTCGGTGCAGGTGCATTTTCCTCCCCAGTGACGAGCGAGGACACTTGCTTTTCAGCCCTGCTGTCTCTGCCTCGGGCAGATCCTCCCAGAACAGCACGTGCTGCCTGCAGAACGGCTGCTGAAGCACAAAGTCCTGCTCCAAGTCCAGAAGCAGAGAAGGAAAGGCCAAGCAGAGACACGTTTCTCCTTTCCCACAGTTCCTGCTGCCACAGCTTTTGCCCAAAACGCCCCAGAAAGCTGCTGCTTTTCCCTGTGCCCACTTACAGGCCATAAATAGAAGTGATAAAACATCCACTCCTCGAGTAAGATAGCCCCGGTTATCTGTCCCTCTGGAGACTTCTTTCTTTAGCAAGAATGACCTTCATAAGTCACACTTTTCCACCAATACTCCCTCCCCCCAGAGTTATAAAATAAAATAGTAATTAACACCCACTCAGCCTGACACCAACTATTTATTTTGTTCTAACTGTGTGGTTTCCATATTATCACTGCCCACCCTGCCGTTAATGGAAATGTTAATAACCAGCGCCAGGTTGTTGTGACAGATGCTTGGGCTCATTATCAGAAATTCTTATTTACCGCTCCATTAAACGACAGAATCGCACAAAAAAACAATTCAATCAAAACTAACTGGAGGAATTTTAACAGCCACATTAATAATCCAAAACATAAATAAAGTTAATGTCTTCTGCATGTTTGCCATCGGCAACTCTATTGCAAAATTATTGTTCTACAATTAAAATGTGAAAGGCAAAATTGAAAATAGCCATTATCCTAGCGCTGGCTAAAACTATTTGTTATTTTGGTATTTTGAGTTTCCTCCTGGGCTTCCTCCGAGGTGACAGTGACGGCAGCACTGTCCGTGTCTCCGTGTCTGTGACCGGGGCAATGCAGAGCTGCTCTGTGGAGGGCTGAGAATCTCCTGCTTTCCAGCCTTCCCCGGCGCACATCGGAGTGTGCAGCCAAGCTGCTCATGCAGCCTGAACCCAAAAACGCAGCTCGGGGACTTGCAGACAGCAACGTGCTCGGGGAAAGGGGAATACGTCCGACCACGGAGCAAAACGGGTCACTTTAGCAATGTGTTTTCTTCCCGGGTAGCAACACCACGCTCTGCCCTGAGCTGCCAGCTTTGGAGAACTCTCAACACCCAGGTCTGAAGCACCATCCACGACAGCGTTCTGCTTTGAACTCCATCTGTCAGCCTAGAAAAACACTTCAGAGCTGCAACCATCGGCAAGAGCTGGTGCAGCTGCACTCGCCACCCTCTCTGCATCCCCTCCTGCAGCCCACGAAGGTTACAAACTGCCGGCCATCACTCTCCACAGACACCTTTGCTGCTGGAGCTGCACTTTTACTGTCACCGTGCTGGCAAATTTGACAGGAGGAAGCAAACAAACAAACAAAGACAGAGTGAAAAAAAATAAGCCATTTCTCCTCGCTACCCCAGAGCTTCGGTGACATGCAAATTGCGTTTGGTTTCATGCCCTGCGAGTCTGTCCCTCTCCTCAGCTTTCAAAGGCTGGTGTGTCCCTCCCCTGATAAGCAGGGATTTCGTGTTGACAGCAAGGGACAGCAGAAAAGTGCTGCTTGCGCTTGATGCTGCTCTGTGCAGGCAGTACGTTACAGTAAGGGTGAAATGAAATACTTCAAAAGACAGAAATACATCCCTACAGACTCTACCTGTTTGAAACCCCCAGCCATTCACCGAATGCATGGGCAGCCTGTACCAATAAAAGCAAATAGACTTTAAAGGTGAATTTAAAAGCTTTTTGCCCCCTAGAAATGCTGTTCGAGCCTTCTGAGCTCTGAATTTTTTCATGGCTGTTGATATCGCTAATACATAAAAAGCAGGGTTAAAGCTGCATACCCCACATTGCTTTAGGTGTTAGTGACATTATCAACTACAGCAGGAGTGACACAGACCCCGGGGGTTCAAACTCAACTCTTGGCAGGTAAAAAGCATTTCATTTTCCCCGAAAAAGTGTATGCATTCATCATGCCTAAGTCTGTCCATGCGACCCGCATTGACATCTCATACCAATATTTGCAAACATTTCTTATCACATTTCAATTCTCCTTTAAGGCTGTCTCCTTGAAATTCTCTCTCTGCCAAAGAACATGGAGAAAAGCCTGAGCAGACTGTACAGTACCGTAATTAGGAAAAAACAACAACATTGGATTGGGATGATGTTGGCAGAATTGCGCAAAGACAACAAATCTACCTGCAAGCACAACAAGAGGGAGAGTCAACATGTGCTCCTGAATAAAATCACACCAAATCACACCAAATTCTGCATTCAAACATATCGCTGCCCTGGTTTTCAGCCGCGCTGAACAGCCTCTGCTCATGCTGCAGCCAAATGGAGCTTGCAAATGCCCATAACCTTTAGAAGAAAAAGTGCCTAAAATCCCCGGAGGGCAGCCGGCCCCAGGGCTCCTCGGATCACGGAGACCTCTCCCTAGTTTTTCCTGGGATATTTGCTCCCTGGGCTCTGTGGCGCTGACAACTTTTCATCACGGCAGAGCTATGGTCCGGCCTCCATCCCTTTTCTTAGTGACAGTTGCTACGATGCTGTGTAGCACAGGTAGGCTGCAAATCCTTGTGATTCCTCGTCTAAACTTAATGTTTTTATGAAATATTCCTTGCTGGTGTTATGTCTGCTCAAATTTCCGGGCAGCAGTCTCCTATGTTTTGATTTTTGTTCCCCCCCCTCCCAATATTATGCTAGGAAATGTAGAGAGAAGCGAGGGGCAAGATGCTCAAGCCATTTAAACAAACATGCAGACAAAAACGAAGAGGTAGCTGCTGTGCACGAGACTGAAGATTTGCTGTGCACCAGCTTGATCCCATGGTTTCCAACTATCCAAGCAGATTTCTGTTTTGTAAAGACATCTGATCCTTTTCTATCTAGCAAGCATTTTCGCCCCCAGTTCATCAAAGCACCGTTTTGTGAACATGCCTGCTTTTATTCCCTAGTAATCAATATATTTGCATTTTGGTGTGAGCACCTAGAGGCCAGAATCTCATTGCACAATGTACTGCATAAACACAGAACAAAGAGACAGCTCCAGGCCTAAAAGAGCCTCTGATCTGTAGGCTATGCACTATAACGGAGAGGTGGGCGCCGCATGTTCCAGCGCATCTACCTAGTCACTGAGGACAAGAGAGAAGACACAGCAATATCCAGCTTCGCTTGTGCTCACAGTTCAAACCTGCATGCACAGCTCTTCCAAAGTTCACATCCTGGCACACATGGTCATGGAAAAACAGAATTGGAAAAGATTTGGGGAGGGAGCAAACAAGCCAGACTCCTGCATCACCCCAGGCCCTGCTCTGCTGGGAAGATCTTAGTGTGCTCTTGATCTTGGACCTCTTTCCAGATCCTCTTCATTGTCCCTAAGCAAACTCTGCCAGCAGAACCCTATCTGCGCTCGTAAAATTTCATCTAAGGTCGTGTTTTTTTCCTAATGCTTTTTCTTCTCTGCATTTTAAGCTCTGTCCCTCCAGTGGACATGGAGAACTGACTGTTCCCTCATGCTCTGCAGCAGCTGCCCACAAGTTATGGCACAAATAAACAACAGTTAAGTGGATCATAAAAAAACAACCACAAAAACACTGATTAGCAGGGTGGGCCAAACAAAAACAAAGAGTTTTTTTTTTTTTTTTTTTTTAATATTGGCTCAAAGAAGAAATGCAAGGATGGTATTTTCCATGGATGAACAAAGAGGTTTCTCTGCAGTCATTTACAGTCACTCCATGGAGGAAAAGCTGCAGGAGAGGAAAATGTTCCATGTTTATTGGCCATGTCCTTACAGGGTCTGTGAAAGGGAGGTGGGAGGAACAGGCTCCGACTCGGTGCAGCAATACCTCTGGATGCCATCAGGAATGCTGTGTGAACTACGCTGATTAATTCAATAACAATTAGTGATTGTGCTCCAAAAACAGCTACTGTGAAGCAGCCTTCTGCTGTGACAAAGCAGTGCAAACTATATTTAGAACAGAAAAGATGCTTCCCACAAACATTTTAGCTGTTTTAAGGTAGGATACATTTTTTTTTTCTAAGTAATGCTCTTTTTGATAGATGCCTCCTACAAGGGGAGCTAAAACAGCTGCAAAATATGAGTTTTAGGGGGAAAACATCATTCTTCAGAGGAAAAATCTATGCATTGACTTACGCCAAGGCACAGATCAGGGTAAGAGAGCTTGGAGCATTCCCTAGTCTAAAAGAAAGCACGGACGATGACACAAGGACACCTTGAGCAGCACCTCTTACCCTCCCAAACACCGAGGAAGAGAGAGCACAGCGCAGCCCGGGCCAAAATGGAAAAACAGATCACATCTTAGTGGAAAAAAAGGAGGCACGAGCAGGAAAAA